CAAAGGGACTTTGAGATCTCCCTTCACCATTAAGCTAGAGGGTCCCCATAATTATGACCAATCCAGTGTATGTGTGCGAGTGATTTAAACCAGAAAAAAAATTGTTATGTTATCCCTAATTACCTTGCTGAATGTGTACAATAACCTGCCCTGCTTGAGTTGGAACAAACCATTTGTTATATGAAATGTTGAAATTTAAATGTTGGTCAGTTTGCATTATTAATACTATGCATGGCCTGTGCAGGCTGGCCCCATATTTTAGGCTATATTTTTTAGGGACAAGTCCAAATTGTTGCAAACCTTCGGAGCATGAATACCAAATGCAATTCGACTGCAATAACTGCAAAACAATTTGAATACAAGTCATGTATATAGTATTAACTTAAAAAGTAATTTGAATAGTACATTTTAGAAAAACATCTTTTGAAACATTGATTTACATTTGCCTTGGCCTTATTGCAATTATGCAAAAATGCAAGGGCAACTCGACATTTTATATTTCAACCCTTTTTAGCTCACCTAGTGACAGGGTGAGCTTTTGTGATCGCTTTTCGTCCGGCGTCCGTCTGTCCGTCCGTCGTCCGTCCGTAAACTTTTGCTTTAAATGACATCTCCTCATAAACCACTGAGCCAATTTCATCCAAACTTCACAGGAATGTTCCTTTGGTGGTCACCTTTAAAAATTGTTCAAAGAATTTAATTCCATGCAGAACTCTGGTTGCCATGGCAACCGAAAGAAAAATCTTTAAATATCTTCTTTTAAACAACCCTAAGAGCTAGAGCTTAGATATTTGGCATGAAACATCTTCTAATGAGTGTCTACCAAGTTTGTTCAAATAAAAGCCCTGGGGTCAAAATTGGCCCCGCCCCAGGGGGTCATTGATTTTCCCTATATGCATATAGTAAAAAATTAAAAAAATCTTCTTTTAAAGAACCGTAAGAGCTAGAGCTTAGATATTTGGCATAAAACATCTTCTAGTAAATGTCTACCAAGTTTGTTCAAATAAAAGCCCTGGGGTCAAAATTGGCCCCGCCCCAGGGGGTCATTGATTTTCCCTATATGCATATAGTAAAAACTTAAAAAATCTTCTTTTAAAGAACTGTAAGAGCTAGAGCTTAGATATTTGGCATGAAACATCTTCTAGTGAATGTCTACCAAGTTTGTTCAAATAAAAGCCCTGGGGTCCAAATTGGCCCCGCCCCAGGGGGTCATTGATTTTCCGTATATGCATAAAGTAAAAACTTAAAAATCTTCTTTTAAAGAACCCAAAGAGCTAGAGCTAAGATATTTGGCATGAAACATCTTCTAGTGAATGTCTACCAAGTTTGTTCAAATAAAAGCCCTGGGGTCAAAATTGGCCCCGCCCCGGGGGTCATTGATTTTCCCTATATGCATATAGTAAAAACTTAAAAAATCTTCTTTTAAAGAATCATAAGAGCTAGAGCTTAGATATTTGGCATGGAACATCTTCTAGTGAATGTCTACCAAGTTTGTTCAAATAAAAGCCCTAGGGTCAAAATTGGCCCCGCCCCAGGGGGTCATTGATTTTCCTTATATGCATATAGTAAAAACTTATAAAATCTTCTTTTAAAGAACCCAAAGAGCTAGAGCTAAGATATTTAACATGAGACATGTTCTAATGGGTTTCTACCAAGTATGTTCAAATAAAAGCCCTGGGGTCAAAACTGGCCCCGCCCCGGGGGTCATTGATTTTCCTTATATACATAGCAAAAACTTAAAAATCTTCTTTGAAAAAACCCAAATAACTAGAGTTTAGATATTAAGCATGAAACATCTTTAAGTAAATATCTACAAAGTTTGTTCAAATAAAAGCCTAGGGGTCAAAACTGGCCCTGCCCGAGGGGTGTCATTGTTTTTAACTATATGTGTATAGTAAAAACTTAAAAAATCTTCTTTTAAAAAACCCAATGAGCTAGAACATAGATGTTTTGCATGAAACATCTTCTTATGGGTGTCTACCAAGTCTGTTCAAATAAACAACTAAAAGCCCTTGGGTAAAAATTGGGCCCGGGGTGGGGGGGGGCTATATACAGGTGAGCGACCTCAGGGCCATCATGGCCCTCTTGTTTATACAGTAGCATTTCTAACATTGTATATATTAGATAAAAAAAGGTAGGTTTTTGTTAACAAAATGTCTCTATGTATCAAGTAACAGTACCCACCGCAGCAATTTATGTCCTCTAAATTACATTTTAATGTTGTCCCGATGTTGTACGCTGTGAAAATGTCTAATGTATGATAATCTTAACCTTACAGAAATTAATATCTGTCATCAAATCATTCTGGAGGGGCTTTACCATAATAACACACTAAAATGTACTAGTTCAATTTTGAAGGCTGTTTTAATAATGTACTAATTTTGTTGTCCCTGATTATAGACATATTCATATATCATGAAAAAAGTAGAATTTGCTTTTTTTAAAGTGGTAACTTTTTCATTTTTCAAAAGTTTGTTATATTTGATGTCATATTGTTTCAACAGTTTCCAAAATTATACTTCATAATTGCAATAAATCTTAATCTTTCTTTGCATTTTGGCATTTAGGACAATTGTAGTGATTTAGTTATTTTGTATAAAAGTGATTTTTGTATAGGAGTGATTTTTGTATAGAAGTGAAAATGCTGCTTTGTTTATATTTTGCTACCTTTATCAAAAATTATTTTACATTCAGCTGTGACTTTTTGATTTTGATTGATAAGTGTCTAAAATGTTCTGAATTCATAATTTATAATAACTGTTTGCCTTTTCTACAGAAAGAAAGTCTTAATGTGCCTTTAAAAGCTAACAACAACATTTAGATAAAAAAAATCTAAAGTCCATGAGCTAGTTTATTCATGAAGATATAAAAATAACATCTGCTTCACGCCATTAAATTATCTTATCACTAATCTTTGGTATATTATGTGACAAAAATTGATTTTTTTTTCATCTTTCTTTTTCACATTTAAATTCAATACAAGGGAAGCAATCCATTTTTCAGTTCAGTTTATCATTGAAGAGTGATGTACCTTTGGTTTAAAAATGCTTTAAATAGGGTATATTTCATAAATACTGACTTAATAGCAAACATCGCAGGCCATGATCAGACTGTGCAGATGTGCCATCTGAGTATGGTCTGCACTCAGGTCACATATGCTGACATCAGGCTGAAGGTTAATGAAAAAAAATGATAACATTTCAGAGAGCGAAATACCTAACATAGCACGTTGGTGGATGTTTCGTCATGTCCATTTATATCATGTACAAATGACATATTATAAATATTAGATTAACTTTCTTTATGTTCTTTAATGGGACAGCGTGTCACTTTCTGATCTTTTCTGTAATTAATCTTCCAGAGAAACGTGCTATTTTCTCTAAATATGTTTTACATGTCATAATACACTTCATAGAGTCAAAGGATTGTTGAGGTTTTAATTTTTGCATATTTTGTACATACTGCACAACAGGAAAATTTGATATAGGCTGTAAGTCACTGTTTTGATATTAATTTTTTCAAACTTTAAAAATTGTGTTAAAATTTGTATGTTTAACATGTATTTAACTTATAATGAATGTGTTGTTTCTTTTTTAAACATTATAGCATATTTAGTAATCTATAGCATTAATTAAGTACATGTATTACAAAAAGTATTAATGAAGAAATTTACAGCATAAAATTGTCATAGATTTTATAAGCATATCTTAAGGAATTTCATTGAGTTTTCCTTGGGCATGTCACCAACTTGAAAAGGATTTTTATGCTCCCCGAAGGGAGAGCATTTAGTCACTTCCTTGTCTGTCCTTCCATCCACGTGCTTCTTGTTTAAAGCATGTAAAGGTGCCTTGTTACCCTGTATTTATGTCACTAAGATGCTCTGTGACAGGTGGTTCCTGCTTTATATTTAAAATACCTCAAACTGAATAATGGAATATTCCAAATACAAAGCAGGGCAAGACCATTACACAAATATAGGAGGACAACAACTTCATTATAACCATTGCAGTGAAATATCGCTTCACAAGTTAGAAATTTTGACATAATGCTTTGAGATAATTGTTGTACCCTTAACGTGGTGGATTTGCCCAACTTTGCATTTGGAAGTGTCCATTTGATGTTTTAAGGGATTTCAATATTAATATACAACAATTTAGCTACCGAAAGTTATAACTGAGCCTGGTCAAACTAGCACAGCTGTGCTCAGATCAGGCTGGGCTAGCACTGCACTGGACTTTAATTCTTACTTCCAGACATTAGAAAATATAATGTGTCAACCTATAGGCGACCTTTAGGCGTTGGTTATGTTAATTAAAATACTATAATGAAAAGTCTTATTATCTCTTATTGTTTTAGTGTATGACTTATTGTATTATAAGTGTTTTCTACAGTACCATATGTTATCATACTAGGGAATTTGTCTCATTATATCGGAATATAAAGTGGCTTGTTGTTCTGTAGTATTAAAGTTTTTTAAGGGTGTATTGTCTAAGTACTTAGCAGATGTCAGTTGTACTTATATTGCAACACAATGGTATTTGTTTAAGATATACTCAAGTAATGCAACTGAAAAAAAAAAATCGTAGATAAAATTGTCATTTTGTCAAGCTGTATAAATTGGCTAATTATTAAATTGCTTACTTGACAAAAAAACAAAACTGGAGCTCGAATCTTTGCCTTTCTATGGGAGAGATCACTTTTGGACGTAAATGATGACTTTGTATTATAAGTAACAATTGCATTAATCCAATTGTTAGGGAAAAATTTAAGACTGCTAAAAATAGTGGAATGAAAAATTCATTACTATTTAAATGGTAGGTGTATGACTATTTTCAGCAGTAAACACTATATACGTTACATCTGATATGTGTAATTTTATATATATGTGAATACGCAAGATTTATGTAATTATTACCTTAGAGTAAGTAACGTTGACATGATGTCTTGAAATGTTTCTTCATATTACCCACGAAATTATCAAATACCATCTTTAATTACAGGCTGAGGAATTAAACACTATAATCGGGAATGCCTTTAAGATGGCTTATGCTCAACAAAAGACGAGACAACCTACATTTAACGAGCTGATTGAAAAACAGCTTGTCGAGCAAAAGGCCAAATTTGCCGAATATCAGGAACAGGCGAACCGTGCGTTACAGCAGAGACTGAATGAGATAGCCACGCCCACTGCGTTACAGAGAATGGAAATGCGGAGACAGTCAAGTTCTGATGATTTGTTAGAATCTAATTGTAGTACCCCAACCGCCTCGGAGAAAGACGCAAAAAATAAAATATGGGTAGGTTTTGTATTCTTTTCAGGGACCACGATTTATTAAAGTTATGAAAGTTATGAAGAAGGAATTACTAAGTATAAAGATAATATTTGAAATGTCATATATTTAGGATGTAAAAATTGATTAGGATGTAGAAATTTGATTTGATTGAAGATCTAAAAGTTTCTCTCCTTTCTTGAAGAAAAGTAATTGATTATTTGCACTTTTTGTCCATTTGTGTTCCTTTATTCATGTTAAGGAGAGATTATTTTCTTTACGTTCATTAAGACTCCAAAACTGAAGTTTTGTGATTATGTTTTCAGATAAAATTACAAGAACTTTTGTGTTTATGGCCAAACATTGCTGCAAACGTAATTTTATTTCTTGTAAACATACTGCTTTATGTTTCTATGTGTGTGTCACCTGTTCCCACAATGCAATATTGTCACCCTCACTATAAATAGTCTGTTTATACTTAATAATACTCAACTTGCATACATATTAAGTATTATTCAGTGAATAACTATATTCAAAATTTATAGGTCACCTTTTGGTTGATAGTCAAATTTAAGGACGTGAATGGTGACATGTCCGGGGTCCATACTCTCAGTGCCTGAAAGGGCGGATGGACCCTCATTAAGCCTAGAATACATACATACATTGAGGAAGATTTAAAACCCCAGGTTCCACTTGTCTGACACAACCATAGGAAAGCCATACCTTGCTAAAAATATCTTATTTTGACTTGGCCAACCTATTATTCATCATTTAAGGGAAAATTTCAAAATGAGTGTCTGAATAGAAAATATTTATGATATAAGTGACTGAATAGCAAATATTTATCATTTAAGTGACTGTATAGTGATTTTTTGCCGGGTTGCACTGGTGCAAACCCGGGTTATAGTATGGTGAATGTTGGGCGGCGGGCGGGCGGGCGTCCGGGCGGGCGGGGAAAAAACTTTTGTAACAGTTTTCTCAGCAACTACTTATCACAGCCTTTTGATATTTGGTATACAGCATCAATTCATGGTCCCATACTGTGGGATTCGATTTCAGGTCTGTCGCTCATCTACTTCCTGTTTGCTGACCTACTTAAATTTTAAGCATTAATGGTCAATGGTAGGAAATTTTCGTAACAGTTTTCTCAGCAACTACTTATCACAGCCTCTTGATATTTGGCATACAGCATTGACACATGGTCCCATACTGTGGGATTTGATTTCAGGTCTGTCGCTCATCCACTTCCTGTTTATCCACTTTTTTAAATTAGTTAGATTTTTTGACATTAATGGTCAATGGTAGGAAATTTTCGTAACAGTTTTCTCAGCAACTACTTATCACAGCCTCTTGATATTTGGCATACAGCATTGACACATGGTCCCATACCGTGGGATTGGATTTCAGGTCTGTCGCTTATCCACTTCCTGTTTATCCACTTAGTTGAATTAGTTAGATTTTTCGACATTAATGGTCAATGGTAGGAAATTTTCGTAACAGTTTTCTCAGCAACTACTTATCACAGCCTCTTGATATTTAGCATACAGCATTGACACATGGTCCCATACCGTGGGATTTGATTTCAGGTCTGTCGCTCATCCACTTCCTGTTTATCCACTTAGTTAAATTAGTTAGATTTTTCGACATTAATGGTCAATGGTAGGAAATTTTCGTAACATTTTTCTCAGAAACTACTAATCACAGCCTCTTGATATTTGGCATACAGCATTGACACATGGTCCCATACTGTGGGAATTGATTTAAGGTGTGAAGCTCATCCACTTCCTGTATACCCTACTGAATTAAATGTTCGACATTAATGGGTCAATGGAAATTTTTTTTCGTAACATCACAGCCTCATGATATTTGGTGTACAAATGCAACCCGGCCTTTTCTGTCTTTGACCCATTTTTTATCATTTAAGTGACTGAATAGTGATTTTTTATCATTTAAGTGACTGAAAAGCGAATATTTAACATTTAAGTGACTTAATAAACAAATATTTTTTATTTAACTGGCGGCACGGATGTGCTTGCTGATCATGGCTTGCACTGGTCACATGGTTAGAAACACTTGCCATCATCAGGCTGTGGGTTATTCATTTAATTAGGAGTTTTATTTATACATAAAATAAGAAGGAGAATCTTTTATTTGAATTCAGGTTCAAGTTTAAGAATTTACGAACAGGCACCACAAACCATATCAGTCCGATTTACCTGACAGAAGTTAACATAAACTTATAAGTATAATCTGAAAATAAAATTACGTTCTAATTTGTTGTTTATGTCAAAATTGACTGGAACACAGTTCTTACTGTCAAATTTACCGGGATTGTGTAATTAACATTTGTTCTTATTTTAGAGTTGTGTTTCCTGTAATGTCCTTTTGTGTCTGTCTGTCTGTCTGTTTTCAGTCCTTTGATTTCTGTAAGCTTCAGTTATGATTTTTTCTTTTGGCCAGAAAGTTTCAGTCCTTAATTTAATAATCTTCACTTATAAATTTTTCTCTACCAACAACTTTTCAATCCTAAATTCAATAGATATTACTTATGATGGACGATTATTTAAGTTTCAATTCAAAATGCAGTCAGCTTATTGAATTATTTTAGCCATGAAGTTTCAGTCTTACATGTAAATATTTATGAATTTTTTGGCCAGAAAGTTCAAGTCCCAAAAATTCTGTAAGCTTCTTGTAAATTTCAGTACTCACTCGGTAGATATCCACGAAAGGTACTGCAATACACTGCTTATATATTTTTTTCTTTTTCTTTTTTATTTTGTATCATTATTTTATTGTAATATATATGGTGAATTGAATATATTTGCAGTGAGTAACCTTTTTTTGTATTGTCATTTTGTATGCAGTTTTTATAAATACCATAATTATATCATCTAAACATAATAAGAATAAAAAAATCATGACATATTTATGTTGATGAAGATGCAATTTAGAAAATGTCATGGGAAAAAAAAACTTAGCATGAACTCTCATGATCAATTTGAGGCTCAAAATAGGGTGAATATATCATATTTTTTTTTCCTAATAGGGGAAAAAATACAGGATTTATATTCATTACTTCTACACATGCAATAGCATGTTTGGCGAAACACATGCAACAAAATAAAGCTTCTTTTGGATAATGGGAAACAATGAAGTTTTATTTTATATTTTCACTAATAAGACTAACTATTGCCACTTGCCCCTCACCGCTGTGGGTTCGAATCCTGCCAGGGACTTTGGATTCTTTCATGTGAGGAAGCTATCCAGCTAGCTTATGAAACGTCGGTGGTTCTACTCAGGTGCCAGTTCGTGCCTGAAATAATGCACGAAAGAGCACCTGAGGTCTTCCTCCACCAGTAAAGCTGGAACGTTGCCATATGACCTATTCTGTGTCGGTGTGAAGTAAAATCCAATCAACAGTTAGTTTACTCTGATTAGGGGAAATATGGTAATTCTAATAAGGGGGAAATATGGTAATACTTTTTCATTAATTTGATGATTTCTTGCATGAATGTTTCACATTTTGACTATCAATCACAGAAAAGATCAGGCAAATCAATGATGTCTATTTTTAATGAGGATAATAATGAGGAATAGTCAGACAATTTCATTATCAGATGATATAATAAATCTCATTACCTTTATTGGCTCTTTTACACCATCAGAACACTTCCCAACAGCCCTTTTAGGTCGGCTCAGTGTGCCGAAAGTTTTCAGGATGCACTGGTCTTTTTGTTCAAAAACAAAAGAATGGCTTTATTTATTTGCTCTGTTTAATATCATGCAGATAAAAATTAAGAATATACATGACCCTTTTCCTGCCAATTCCCATACAAATGTGTTTATTTCCTGCCAATTTCCATACAAATTTTAATGTTTTTATTCCAAGATGTAAAAATTAAAAAAGAAGTGTGGAAACAAGGGGCAAATACTTGTTAATGAATTGAAAAATACTGGCTATTATATTGGGGGCCGGGCTTCAATAAGTAAACTTTACAACTAAGATATGCATGACCAATTTATTGTAAATTTTAGATACTAAGTGTCTTGTAAAATAAGAAGAAAATAATTGAAAAAAATATTTTTCAGCCTTTTTTTTTGCCTTTTTTGATCTATCTCTCTAGTTCTTGATAGTGTAGATTTTTTTCTTTCTTTTTTATTTTGGTGTTTGAAGAAAAATAAGCATAGCTTTTTATAATTTTATTATATTTTGATTTTTTTATAGATTTTTATTTTACATCTTTGCAGCAATGGAGCGGGTTTTAGTTAATTCAAGCTTTTTATTGCCATTTATTTGGAAAAGAATAATTTATGAAGGGAACTAACTCCTTCTGGCTTAACTTAATATTCTAACAGTATTTGCAGAGTTATCTTGCTGCTCAGTTTGTTTTTATATATCTTGATATATAGTTCTCACAGGCTTTAAAATAGCTGTCAAGAATTGTTTTGCAGTCGTTTTTTGCAATGTTTGGTTATATGCTTGTTTGTATATTTTCATAGTATTCAATAATTGTTTATGTATGTTATACCTTAGTACAATAACGGGTTAAATCCTATTAAGTTATATATGGAGTTAACGGTGTTCCTGCACTAAGATGACAGTATATGAACATAATAGTTATGAAGCCATTGCTCCACTAGTATCATAGGGTTTCATTTATATTGTTATATTATAAAGGTGATAATTTATTATATATAATATAATTATAATGTCATAATTATATAAATTTAATTACTAGAAAACAAAGTTAATTTTACATTTGGAATCAATATATAATAGAATGCTAGTGATAACCGTTGGGTCAAACAATGACTAATATGTGTATATAACATGAAAACTTTAAATGTTGTGTTACAGCAGAATCCTAAAAACATTAAACATGTTATATTTAATCTGTAGTTATGTATCGAATATAATTAACTTTGTTGTATGTTTACTAATACAAACGTGTTTCTTTTGTTCAAGATGTAAAATGTATTTAAAAAAAGTAACATTGAATGTTGATAATGTTTATGTTTACAAGAAAATAGGTGAAGAACAAACTTGTTTTTGTTGTAAATTAACTGTATTATACTTCACTTTATTTCAGGCGAAACAGGCACTAGAGAAGGCCACACACCGTTCTCAAGCTTCAGACAGTCCGGTGCGAAGTAATTCACCCACATTTTCCTCATCCCGTCCATCAAATCAACAACAACAACAGGGTTCTCGTAAATCAGATCCGAATTTTTCGGCTACAAAACGAAACTCTACACCAGTTCAGCTTTCACCATCAAAATCGTCGAACTTTAACGCAAATTCGCCAAAGAGAAATTCCTCCCCGCATTTAGCGAACCTACAAAACTTCCAGGTAGTGACTATACGAGAGTCTTTAGAAAATAATGTGAATAACTCTAACCGATTTAAAGGTTCGCCGGTGACGGCACTAAAGGACGAGATAGACCGGAGGTATCTTAGCAACGGTGGCGGAGGAACGTTAGATTCGGGTCTAGGTTGGGGGATCGGAGATGATATGGATAGTATACAAAGACTTAAGATGAACCATCATTATGATAATGAAGATCAGGTATGACATACTGAAAACAATCACAAGTTATCATACATTATCACACATTATCACAATTTATATTATATTATCACAAATTATGAAACATTATCACAAATAATCATATCTTATGACAAATTATCATACATTATCACAAATTATCATACAAAATCACAAACTATTGTACATTATCACAAATAATTGTACATTATGACAAATTATCATACATTATCATGAATTATCAAACACAATATATCATACATAAACACAAATTGTCATATATTATCGGAATTATCATGCATTACCACAAATTATCATACCTTATCAAAATAATCATACATAATCACAAATTATCATAAGTTAACATACATTGTAACAAGTTATCATACATTATCACAAATTATCATACATTATCACAGATAATCAAACATTATCACAAATTATCATACATTATCACAAATTATCATACATTATCACAAATTATCATACATTATCGTAAATAATCATACATTATCACAAATTATCATACATTATCACAAGTTACCATGCATTATTAACAAATTGTCATATGTTATCACAAATAATCATACATTATGACAGATTATCATGCAATATTACAAATTATCATAGTTACAGTATTACAAATTATCACTTGGTATCACAATATCTCATGCGTTGTCATTAAAAACCATTTTTTCATTGTGCTACTTTAAAACTAACTTTCAGTTGTATGACTACAATCTGCAAAGGTTCTTCCTATTTTTGCTGTTCATTTTTCATTGAGCACATCAATTATCATCTTCTAAAACTGCCATTTTAATGTTACAAAACAAGATTATTAATAGCTTGCTGTCCTCTGGAAAATGTCCATATATACAACTACAGATGCAATGTTTTGTTGAAAATTTTGTTGATTGGTTCCACAAGAACTGAAGAAAATTATAACAATTTTAAATTTGGTTATAATAATGGGCTGATGGCACCAGCATAACGACCATAATTATGCAGTCTATTAAACCATAAGGAAAATTTCAAAATATGTTCTGACTGAACAGAGCAGCGAATAGTGCAGACCATGATCAGCCTGCATGGACGTGCCGGTTTATCTTGGCCTGCACTGGTTGCATGGGTTAGTTAAGAGCTTTTGATCTTGCTAATATATTGATGTCTTCATCACACATAGACCACCGATGCTTGTTCAATGAATATGAAGACATATTCCTATGAAACTTGGTATACTTATTATGACCACTCACTCACCTTGCAAGCTATAGTATTATAAAATCTATGTGTTTTTCTAAGACTTGAATTACAACTAACAATTAGTTGAGCAGATTTTCCTGAAGGCATCTCTTGTTTATAGTGATCTATTGCATGAATTGCAACCAAGCAATTTTCCCATCTGCAAGTCTATTCCCTATGTAAAGTTGTTTTGTCTTGTGAATATAATGTTCCCTATAATTCGTTTTCTATATTTTTCCACTCCTAAAATGTCTGAAATATCTTCTGGCTTTATATAATATTTTCCCTGTGTTTTTCTTTTATCTAAGAAAATTAATGTTTTGCCATTTCCTGAGATAATGACAGCAATACTGATATGATGGTATACAAAGAAATATAATAACAACCTTGTATGACATCAATGGGAAACATTAATTTTGATCTATAGAGAAAAATGACACAAGATAAATATAATCTCTAAACTCAAAGACAAGTATAATCTCTAAACCCCAAAGTCAAATATACTCTCTAATCCGAAAAACTATTTTTGCGACGGACGCGCCCTCAGGCGCGTTCAGAACTAAGTCATCTACACATGGGATTTCGTTGGCTACATTCGCGCAATGTGTCCTAAACCAATTAACAGCCCAAGAAATAGTACATGAATTTGATCCTTCAAAACTCCCATACTTTGTCTGGATATCTTAATGTCTTCCATATTTAGCCTTTTCAATTTCAAATTAAGTTATCCAAGTTAAAATATGAACGTATATTATTGATAAAAACGTTGTAGTCCCGTAGTATTATTGCGCAATATGCAAATTACTGCTGAAACGATTTACCGCTGTCGAAAAAGTAGGACAGCAAATTATACTACAATAAAGGTGTAACCTCTGAGTTCCAAGACATTATTAGTAGGAAATAAATATTTCTACATTATACAAAACATTATTATTAACAAATCAAAAGTTTTTTCGTGACTCGAGGATAACTCGCGCATTAATAAAAGAAGAACTATTTTCGTGACTCATACCGCGGGTTTAGCTGAATATTCAGCAGTTATTAATATATTAGATACAGTACAATGGCTAGTATAAATATCTATTTTTGAAAATGCATGTAAGACACTTTACCGCCATGTAGTCTTTCATGGTAAGGAAGTTATAATATCAGTTCTACTTCCGATTCTTGTGGTTTGTTTACATATTTTACTAGGTCATGATATGAGTTAACCTTCGCTATTCTAATAATAGATTCTGCTTCACCTGTTCTGATTTTTGGACAGGCGATTAGGAAGTACACATTAAACATGTAATTAATAAACCAGCGGATTGTAATGCAATACTTTTAGAAATGCTATACAATTGTAAGAGGCAAACAAGTTGAAAATGGAATTTAGTGTGAAGTTGAAAAGGACAACTAAACACTGTAGTGCTTAAGTGACATTTAAATTAAAATAAAAACGATGTGCTCTGGCCTCTACGTCTTTACCTTGTAAATAAAAAAATCTAAGAAATACACTATTAATTGCTGATGATTTTAACCAATTTTTTTTAAATGAGACACATCCAAGAGAAATAAAAATACAAATGACTTATATTTTGTCTGTATGCCCACTATGATATAACACGAAGCAATTCTGAATAGCATTCTCAAATGTATAATGTATTATGTTTGAAGTTTATTTGCCTGGATTGATTCTAGAAATATTTCGTTGATAGTTTTTTTTCTATTTACATATCATTTCTTAGAATAAATCGATAAGGACACTGATTTACAAGTTTGACCAGAGTTTTTAGGCATAAATTTCATTCGTGCTTGAAAGTAGAAAATCTGAATTATATCAATTTGGGACACAAAATATATTGCTCTACAAATCTCGAACTTGTATGGAACAAATTTTCTCTGTTATATATTTTGTGTTTTTTTTTTGTTTTTGTTTTTTTTTCTAAAAGAAGCCTTAATGTCTCTCCGGTTGCATGTCCGTCGCATTCAGTGCTGCAGCACTTTGATTTAAGATATTTTGTGCCTAGTGGTGTGAAAATGTCATATTGGATCTTAAAATTGTCAGAGGATGTTTTGAAATTACTATTGATTAGATAGAGAAACTTTCAGGCTGTTGTCATCACTAATGAGCTGTGGAGATATTCTAGACTTTGTCATGAAGACTATTTTCTAATGATAATATAAAGAGAGGACTATACAATGGGCTATTGCAGCTCTACCAGTCTTGAGTTGCCAAACCTTATCAATCAGTCAAGCTCCTCCGAAAGATATGATCATATATTTTGGCAGCAACACCTTATTTTTATCTCCACGATGCATTTAAAATTGTCTCATTGGCCTCCTGTGCATCAAAATAGTAAACATCACAAACAATGACTAGCATAATATTTAGTATCATTCAATGAATTACTGAATTCCAAACTTATAGGTTACCCTTTGGCAAATAATAATCTTTAAGGACATGAATTGTGACTTGTCCGAGGTCCGTACTCTCAGTGCCAGAAAGGGCAGATAGACCCTCATTGAGCTTAGAATGCAAACACCCCTATCGCAGCTCTTGGTCCAATTGCTTTTTTATTTGCATTAATGTATAAATAATCTACATGTTCACATCTTGAATAAATATATGTTGAAATCATCAAGTTAAGTCAAGCATGCTGTCCTACTGACAGCTCTTGTTCCATTTGAATGTTTGTCATGACATCATATGTACCATGTCATAATTTATATATCATGATCTGTATGATGATGTCATCAATTAGGTCATAATCATGTTCCATTTGAATTTTGCTTTGTCATTTATGAAATAATTGTTCCGTTTTTGTACACAAAATGTAAAAAAAAACCCCACTCCTTGGGAAATCTAGGGAAGACAATTTCACCATATTCAATAATAAAACAGCAATTCTAGCATATTATATAAAGCATTCGGGTGATGTCTGTCTGTTGTAAACCTACATAATATCCCTACAGTATTGTATTTTCCTGTAATTTCACAAGAAAATAAAATTATAGAAACATTATTATCTTGCTATGACACCAACAGCAAAAATACTTTATTCATGATGGTTTATGTAAGATAAAAGCTTAGTTTCAAATGCCAGATATGTTTTAAATTTAATAGACTATAAGTTTCTCATATTTTACTTGAAAATATTAAATTTACAATGATGTTCAACCTGTACGTGTCATGAGTCTCCTTAGTGAAAAATGTTGTAATTCAATAAATTTGACGTTCTGTATGTTTGGTTTATACAGAATTTATTTTAGTTAGATTGTGTAGGAAGCTATATAAGCTTTTAGACATACTTTCAACCAGAACTGAGCAATGAGTGTCAAGTTTCTTGCTCAAGAAAAACATTTACTTTCCCCTGATGGGGTTTGAACCCATGTGGCTAGAGTTCATTAGATTACTAGTCCAATGCGTTAACCACTCGGCCATGCCACTCTGTATGTTTATCACAAACATTGAGTTAACTGTTTATATATTGTTTTATATACGCTTGTTTAAGATTTGTAAGACTAGAATTTAACCATTTGTTGTATTTTTTTTCATTTGATGTTATGGTAACATTCTTTATATATATTTTCTACAGTTACAAGCACCACCAACCCCTCCTTCGAAGATGCAGAACCGTCCGTTACCCGCCATACCGGCATCTTCTGATTTCAATGATCACAGAGCCAGTCCAAAACTACGAAACTGGACCAGTCTAGATGATGACGTCATACCAAACCATACACGATCCACGATGCAGTCACGATTACGGGACAGCCCTAAACGTCGGCCTCAAAGGCCGCAGAGCGAGGTTATCCTCGATTCAAAGTTATCTGTTTTCTCAGGAGGGGGAGTGGATCAGCCCGGTGTATATATATATGGCTTTAAATCACAGACTCAAAATGAGTTATCCAAAAACTGCAATGTGCTAAACTCTAATCAGTTATCTAATGTAAATATTTCGCCACAATTCAACAACAGGTCTATGCAAAATCCGCAGAGCAGGGAAACTAATACTACACAGCAGAAGTATTCACCCAAGGTGAACAACTCTAATCATCAATATTCCCCCAAGGGGAGTAACTTCACACAGACTGGTTATGATAATATGAATAGTTTACAGAACGGAAAATCATCACCACCAATGCATTACCAGAATGGAAGTCCTTCCCATAATGCAGTAGTGGATCATGGGGAAGAATCCTCCAGTACGAAAAAAGAAAAGGGTGGCGGGTAAGTTCTGAATTCTGTACTATTTAGAAATAAAAAAAAAATAATTTGCCAATCAGATTATGGACTGTATGCTGTGGATCTTCTCAATGACTTATTCATAAGCCTTAAAGATTAAAGTCAAGACCATTTCAGTAGGGTTTATTTCAACTTTAATTTTTGCTCCACTTTTTGAAGAAAAAGAAAACCTAGCTAATGTTTTGACCATCTTGTTGGCATTGGTTTAACTTTTAATTAACTATCCATCACTGAGAAAAGTGGACCATTATGTTTATGGTCAAGTCTTCTTGATTGTGAAAAACCTTAACAATGTCACTGAGGGAAATATAAACTAATATGTTTGAACCATGGTCTAGTCTATTGATTTGAACCATGGTCTAGTCTCCTGATTTGAACCATGGTGTAGTCTCCTTATTTGAACCATGGTCTAGCCTCCTGATGCGAACCATGGTCTAGTTTCCAGATTTGACCCATGGTTTAGTCTCCTAATTTGAACCATGGTCTAGTCTCCTAATTCAAACCATGGTCTAGTCTCCTAATTCAAACCATGGTCTAGTCTCCAGATTTTAACTATGGTTTAGTCTCCTAATTCAAACCATGGCCTAGTTTTCTGATTTGAACCATGGTCTAGTCTCCTGATTTGAACCATGGTCTAGTCTGCTGATTTGAACCATGGTCTAGTCTCCTGATTTGAACAATGGTCTGGTCTCCAGTCTTGAATGAACCAGTGTCTGTGCCATAACTGTAAAAATGAATTGTGACCCTGTAAGGCTCAAACCCATGATTCATTGTTTCATTGTTTGAAAGGAAGGCTCAACTAGGTTTATATAGATGGATTGATCGTTTAATAGAAGTGAATTGATAGTTTAATAGAAGTGAAAGTATAGTGTTCCAGAAGAAATGAGGCATAACAAACATTTTGACAGATTGTAGAAAACTTGTTTCATAACAATTGAAGACAAAAACTTTGGTATAATCTCATTCTCACAAAACTGCCTCAGAATTAAAGAACAGGATAAAAAAATATCTAGGAGCTTTTACAGGGGGTCATAAAGTCGACTTTCACTCCATTTGTCATAGCTGGAATAAAATTTCCTTAATTTATTTTTAGCTCTTTTAAATTCCCCCTCTTGATGCACATTTATTAGGAAAAGGCACCGTATTTAACTCAGTATAATCTTAGAGCTTTTACACTTGTTTTTGTAATTTCGTTCGCAAATTTTGAATCTTGTTCGAATGAGGCTGATCACAGGTGCGAGTTTTTGTAATGTATCAACTGTAGCGAACAAAGAGAGGGGTGCTAATCTGATATGTATCAATATCGTAATCAAAGTTTCAAGTTCGCGCAGATACCCATCTTTTTTGTATAACATTACACAATTTCCCTTTTTTCTTTAAGACATTTTTAAATTGTTAATCATAGGTCTAAGGTGGTGTCGATTTACAAGGAGAATTTTAAGGGCCGTGATGATCGAGTGTTCCCACAACAAGCTTAAGGTTGTAGAATACCAAATTGTTTTATCTGTTTTTTGTTTTTTTTAAACTGCAAGTATTTTCTTTAAACTGTGTAACAGAAATGCACATGATGCTTTGCTGGTCTAAATTCACAGTGATTACATTTGCATATATGTGATATGTTTTACTTGCTTGGAGCTGGGATTCAAACCAGAGTGCTAGGGATGGCATAAGAAGAGACAATTATGCAATTTATAGCTTTACACAGCCCTAATTGCCTTAACGAGGGTTGGGGCCTGGGGTCCTCAGGTAGGGGAAGTTCACATCATTTTGAAGAAAAAATTTTTTTTGTCTCAACAGCAATACTCATTGTGTCATGTTCTACAGTTGTTTAGGCAGTAGCGGATTTTAGGGTATAGCGGATAACATGGCAGTAACAATGCTCCTTTCCATCAAATATGCCTTTTTCAAAATAAGACAATTATACCATCTAAAAGAGTGATATATTTGCCATCCGTGGCTAATTTTGTTTTATTTATTTCAAATTGCACAGCCAGTTTTTCTTACATAAATCAGAACGAGGTAACCGGATGTTGTCACCGTCAGACTATTTATAAGCGCTTCCAAAAGTAATAAACAGAAAACTATTGATCAACACCAAGTAAAGTAATGAAATATTGACATGATTTGGTGTAAAAATCATTTGTTTATAATTTTGCAAAAGCTTTTACAGATATAACGCCTACTGACACTAAAAATTATTGAAAATGAATAGCAAGTGTTTCTGTCAGTAACGGATTTTACATTTGAGGGTGGTCTCAAAATTTATTTTATCTGTCAAAACGCCGTCAAAAGTGGATTAAAAGTAGACTTTTAACAAAAAAATATCCCAGTTTTAATGGTATAATATTATGTATTCTATCTTTTTATAATTTTAACTCAGTTGTATTGATACTTTGAATATACAATCATTATTAACTCTTCTTTCAACTAGATTATAAGATTAATAATAGCTTTAATGTAAAACAGACCTCTTTTTCATTGAAATTTGTTGTTTCATTTTTATGCCCCCACAATGTGGGAGCATATAGCGTTGCACTTGTCCGTCCGTCCGTCCGTCAGTCCGTCCGTCCGTACGTCCCGAAATCTTGTGAACGCAACTCCTCTTAAACCGGATGGCAGATTTTGCTTAAATTTACAGGGATGAACAACCTTAATGTGTAGATGGTAGTAAAGGAAGGAATTTTTGCTGCGACCAAATTTAACAGAATTATGGCCCTTTGTTGATTTTTTCACTAGCTACTATGTAGAAATTTTGTGAACGCAACTCCTCTTAAACCGGATGGCAGATTTTGCTTAGACTTACAGGGATGAACAACCTTAATGTGTAGATGGTAGTAAAGGAAGGAATTTTTGCTGCGACCAAATTTAACAGAATTATGGCCCTTTGTTGATTTTTTCACTATATACTATGTAGAAATTTTGTGAACACAACTCCTCTTAAACCGGATGGCAGATTTTGCTCTAACTTACAGGGATGAACAACCTTAATGTGTAGATGGTAGTAAAGGAAGGAATTTTTGCTGCGACCAAATTTAAAAGAATTATGGCCCTTTGTTGATTTTTTTCACTATATACTATGTAGAAATTTTGTGAATGCAACTCCTCTTAAACCGGATGGCAGATTTTGCTTAAACTTCCAGGGATGAACAACCTTAATGTGTTGATGGCAGTAAAGGAAGGAATTTTTGCTGCAACCAAATTTAACAGAATTATGGCCCTTTGTTGATTTTTTCATTAATTACTATGTAGAAATTTTGTGAACGCAACTCCTCTTAAACCGGATGGCAGATTTTGCTTAAACTTCCAGGGATTAACAACCTTAATGTGTAGATGGTAGTAAAGGAAGGAATTTTTGCTGCGAACAAATTTAACAGAATTATGGCTCTTTGTTGATTTTTAGTTTCAACTTGTGGCACATGTAGTCCAAAAAATATTTGACCTAGAGTCATAAGATTGACAGAACAGTGGTGTGTGGGGGCATCCGTGTCCTATGGACACATTTCTTGTTCATACTTAATACACATGCTCAGCTCCAGTTTATTGCAAAATTTTTGTAATTTATGTATTCAGAATATATAGTTTACTTTTTAATTCATCTATACAGATCTTAGGAAATATTGTTTTTATTTGTTAAATTGCAACATATTATATAGTTATCATTGCTTGTATACTGTGATGTTACAAAATAAATAAATAAATAAATAATTTTTAAATAAATAAAGCTATTTACTATGGTTGATATAATTATAGATTTTTTAAAGAAATAACTATGGTAAACTATAGCTATGTTCAAACTATTACATGTCACAGTTGCATCATAAGTTGTTGACCAGATATTTATCTATATATTTATTTACTTGTAGAAAAATTTGAAATATTACTATCAAATGTAACATTTTTCATTCCAAAAACCCCAAAACATGTTTCTGTGACATGTACTTTGTAAATACTAAATTTGGAACGTTTTGAGACTCACCCTCATTGACCTTCACCTACCTATCCCATACTCCCCAAAGCTATCCGCTACTAACTGAAATATATGCCGAACAAAAACAAAGAGTACTACATGTAATGTCAAAGATACTGCTAAAAATATTTTATTTTAAAAAGGGAGGGTAGTTTGACTACTGAATGGTATCAATTTGACTTTCTGAATATTATTATTAAAGACATAAGCAGCGCCGATCTCCTTAGCTATCCGCTACTGCCTAAACAACTGTATCAATGTGGCCATACCACGTGACTTTTCGGGTACGGAACACGCCGATTTTTCAACCGATTCAGGTATGTTTTTTATTCATAACTTATTTATTACTCAACCGATTTTGATGAGATAAGGCGCAGAGTACCCGTAATTATATCAGCTATCCACAGTATATCAAAATTCTGAAAACCACTGAATGGTTTTTGAGAACATTCGAGTACAGTTTTCTTTTCATAGCCTGGGCCGAGGGGAACGGTACACACTCATTTGGCATAACAGGCGATTTCTAGCAAGTCATATGTTTTTTGACACTATTTCATAGAAAAATACATGTTAAATCTGATATATTTACTATGTCCAATGTATCGAGGGAATGCAGTGATGTTCTAGCATATTTTCATAAAGTTATGTTGAAATGATACGGAACACACTGTTATTTCAAAAGATACGGTACACACACAATTTCTGTCTTTGAAACAATTCTAAAATAAAATATATAAAAATTTAATTTAAATTATAATATGAGTGATTTGTTTCATAGTTATACATTTTATTAATTTAAACGAGAACCCTGGGACCTGTTTTGCAAAGTATCATTATGCCTACAGTTTGATGTAAACAGGATTATTCAAAAAATAAAAGAACATTTTGAGAGTTAATATTTGGCTATAAAATGTTAAAATTTTAGGGAGGGATACGAAAGACATTCAAAATTTTGTTTTGTTTTGATTTTCATTTGCGACAATTAGGTATATTCTTTTGGATTATAAAACGAATTGTG